CTTTATTAAAGAGGCACTAACCTTGCTCACATGCCCTGAGAAATAGCATAGCTGATTAGACTAGAGGGCACCGATCCAATGCCCATGCTGAACAAGTTAGTCTTGTTCATAATTCTCCCTTTTTCATCCCTGAGACTTGGGAGAGACAGTGTCAACTGCAGGTGGTGTACTTCTAAGCCAAGGACATATAAAGTATGGGTTGTAAAGGCCATATTTAGGCCATAGAGAAAGAAAACAGAAAAATCTACCCTGTAGAAAGAAGAATGAAGCAGATGAACAAACACTGGCAGAGAAAAGAAACCATGAAACTTCAGAAAGAGAGCCAGAGATTCATAGCCCCGACAATGCCCCCTCCCGAACCCCCAGGATGGTGAAAGACAGAGACAAGAGACAGAAGGAGAAAGACAGAGTGAGAGGCAGAGGGAGGGACATAGAGAATTGCAGCCAAGGTACTTAGTTTCCAAATTCCTTGTTCTGGTCTTTTGTGAATCTCAGCTATAATTCCTACAGATTATTTCTGGGGGATAACCACATGGTTATCTCATAGAAGTAATAACTGTACATTAGTAGTATAAAATAGATTTCCATTTGAGCTTAATCTAGATTCAGTTGGTTGTTACTGGTAACTAAAATGTCTCAGGGACACTGGCCCCTTTGTATTTTATTTTGATATGATCAAACTTCAGATACTATTTGCACTCTAAAATACACTTGGATTTGTAATATCTTTAAAAGCACTTTAACACCTTGGGCTAACAGAATCTACTTATCAATCCACCTCTAGTATAGCATTAATAAAACTCTTATAATGAGCTAACACATTTCCCCAAAGTGAGCAAAGACTTGCGATCACTTCTAAACGTGAGAAATAAGCCCATTACTTGTCAATTACTATTGTCACAACATCTTCGTACATACAATGTAAACAAATGTGCCAAATTAAGACATGAATAATCAGAAGAAATTCCTTCATGTTCCACACATTTAAAAGATGCCCACTAATGACAAAATAGCAGCACTTTATATATGAAAAAAAGTACTTTTGAATTAAACTTTCTGAACACCATATGCAGTTGGGACATAAGTTCTCTTAATAATGACAGCAGATGATTCATTAGTGACAGAATGCAGAATGCCAGGGCAGACTAACAACAATAAAGAAAAAGACTGTTCGGGAAGGATAAAATCTTCAAGTCTCTCCTATTTAAGTATACTTTATAGTATTCTTCTCATAAAGCAGGGGATGACAAATATAATTATTAATCTTTTTAAGGTACAGAAGTTCACTCCTAGTAAAAGTGGATTTTTCGAATGAATTAATTTGAAATGATTAATATTCTAAGTTTCTTATGACCCGCCTTTCTTTCCCAGCAATTTGTTTTCTAACCTTTTGCTGAATATTGTTCCCTCAGCCCTCCAGATCCATAACCATCCTCCATCCTGCTCTGGGTCTTGGGAAAACATGGGTATGGACCACATGAATAAGCTCTTTTGGTCTTCACTGTTTTGTTGGATTTGGCCAACAGGAGGCAATGACAAGAGATGGTGGGCAGCGGGAGAGTGAGGAGAGTAGATTAGATATATCCCTCTATCACATTTGCAAGTGCTGTCAGGTGGCCTTGTCACAAGGTGGCCTTGTCCACACAGCTCCTCTCTCCTGGTGCCAGTGGCATCTTCCTTCCCTTGCCCCTTCAGACCAGAGATAATATCGCTCCTCTCACTATCTCAGTCCTTGCTGATTTCTGTAAACCTTGCCCATACCTCTGTATATAACTCCTTTATTAAACTCTCATCAAATTACCCACTGTGAGTGTGCTGTTTATTGCCAAGACCTTGATACAAACCTCTACTTCTACCTCTTTAGAACATCTCCTCCAAAAGCTACCAAAGCCCTCATATGAAAATTGCCCCCAAAATGCCCTCATCTGCTTCAATTTCTCTTTTTGGCACTGATCACCTATTCCTTTTTCATACTCACATGCACACAGTAGATGCCATGATAGACTTCTCAGTTTCCTCTTTCTATTATTGCTCTGTGAACATGGCAAATCCTCAAAGGTTCTTTCCTTAACCCTCAACTCATTTTCCATGTTTTTTCCACCAGGGACCCTATTCCCTCTAAAAATGTATGATCACTATATGTCAGTGACTCCTCAGGAGATCTTTCTAATCCTAAACTCTCCTTCATCCTCTAGGGCTATCTTTCCAACTGCCGGTTTTACTAAATATCCCTCAATCATATAAACTTCATGTTTAAAATTATTATCAAGACAGAGGAAACCAGTGTTTCTCTCTACCTTTCTTATTTCCATTAATTGTACCACCACGTTCTAAGTCCATTCTAACAGCCAATTCACTTTCAAGTAATGCCATCATTCCTTCTTAAGTGCCTTTCATCTCTCTCTTCCTTCTTCAATACTAATGCCTGCTAAATTGATCAGGATTAGATTCGAGTTTGGTAACTGCATTAACTTCCAAAGTGGTATTTCCCACGGTATCCAGCATAGTCTTGATCATTTTACATGCCAATATTTGTTGAGTCAGTAGATCAAAACTAATTAAAAAGGGATTAGATATGTAAGTCTCATAAAAAATTTAGATAATTAAAGGGGAAATACACAATACATAAATGTTTGAAAGACAAATATGGAAAAAATGCTCATACTCGCAAATAATCAAAGCATTGTATGTTAAGCACTACACACTTATATACATAACCTCATTTAATTAAAAAAGTTAAACTTGGAGGGGAGGTATTTTTCCACATGAGTCAGATGAGTCACATGAGTCAGATGAGTCAACTGAAGATCAGGGAAATTTAGTCCAGGATCACAAAACTATAAAGTTTTGGGATTCTAAACACAAAAGTATACAAGTCTAGGTTTAGATTAATGTGCCTAATGAACCTGAACTTTGTATTTATCACCAAGCTTTGGGCAAAAGAATGTTCTGACTTTCTGTCTAAGTAAGACAAATTAGTTAATGGTAATTAGGTCTCCCTCCCAAATTCTTCTGCCTTAGCCTGAGAAATTGACTTATCAAGAAGAGGAGAAGGCAGCAGTGTAAGAGGGCTGAGTCCTAATTAAAAGTGGTACTGCTTGTTTAGAAGGTACTTCTAGAATCAAATGGAAACCATAAGTTGCCTGAAAATCAAACAGAAACCACAAGTTCCCCAGAAAGAAAATGCTAAGCAAGCAAAAAGTATGGCCCAACAGTAGCTAAGTGGGTTTTTTTTACAGGGAGTTTTTATTAACACATTAATCACCAGATACCCCAAACCAGAGCCACAGCAACCTGCCTTGAAACCAGAGAATGAGTGAATGAGAGATGATATGGCATTTGATATCTATTGATGGCAAGTGGTATCTATTGGTTTATAACTGATTAAATGTGGTTTTTTCCCCTTTAAAAGTGCCTCATCTTAAGAGTTCTCAATTTAGTTGAACTATAATAGAAAGACTTGGGAAGACATACCAGTCTAGAAGCTATTCTACATCACTGGCAGGGTGTTTACAATTATTCATGCCCCAATGATGAACTAAGATGTTATTGACGAAAACTTGTTGTGCAGATGAAGGGCAGTTAAGACTGGGAACAACAGATAGAGAATGAAGCTGACTAGAACAGGTTATGAAATAATGTTATTTTTCATTGAACCTGTATGAAATAAAATGTCCCATGGGAGATGACAATAAATAGATACTATTTTCCCAAAATGAAAGGCATTATTCATAATTTTTCAAGAGCATAATGTCATAAAATATTCACAAAAACAGGTCAATGACAAATATATGATGTTCCTAAAGGTAGCAGAAAGCTCACTTAGGTTAGTATTTTTTGCTTGACAGAGCAAAAAGACATTATTGATACAACAATGTAGTAGTTACACCTACATTTGCAGAACTATGTCTCTTTTATTCCAGCTTGTCATTTTTTAATGAAAAACATCAAATGCCCTTTAAAGCAGTGATATCCAAATTTTTGGACCACATAACCCTATAGAGGGAAAAAACAGGGTCTCACCCTGTTGCCTGGGCTAGATAGGGTGCAGTGGCATGATCATAGCTCACTGTAACCTAAAATTCCTGGGCTCAAGTGATCCCCCTGCCTCAGCCTCCCAAGTAGCTGGGACTACAGGTATACCCCACCATACCTGGCTAATTTTGTTATATGTTTTTGCAGAGACGGGATCTTGCTATATTTTGCTCAGGCTGGTCTCAAACTCCTGTGCTCAAGTAATCATATTGCCTTAGCCTCCCAGACTGCTAGGATTACAGGCATGAGCCACCATGCCTGGCCTTAATTTCTTTATTCTTAAGTAAAAAGATTATAAATTAAAATTCTAATATTTTTTTCTTGCATCCAGTGGTGCTCATCTTGTATGCTCTATATACAAGGGATGTCTGTACCCTACTTTAGAGGCTACTGCTTAAAAATATACACTCTTGAGGATTTAAAAATTTGCAAGTTCATTTCTAAAAAACAATCAATTTGCTTCCTTCCTCCCTCAAGTGATCCACAAGGGAGATTATGCCATTCAAATGACAATAAACATTTATTAAAAATTTCACATTTCTTTAGTGTAGAGGTTGAAACAATTGTTACTAATTATGTTTCTTAAAATAAGTACAGCTATTCTGACTCCATCATTTACATAAATTATTTTCTGATAAACTACCATTGAAATATTGACTATCAAAATATATCAATTCTAGTATTAACTAAAATAATGTAAAGTTGAAATCTTTCTCAAATGACTGTAGCTACATTTTACTGCTTTAAAGAGGAGTGACAGTAAAGGGCCAAGAAACACAGGCAATTGTTTTTATTAGAAACAAGATTTAAATTAGCTTTATCTGAGAATCTATGAATTCAAATACAGGCTAATAGTCTTTTATAAAATTACTTTCTCTGGAAGAATCAGACAGAGAAGTAGCAGCCGTAAGAGCAGCTCGCTGCTCAGTGCTGCGTGTGGTACTTTGTTCAGGTGTGTACCTTACCTTGGCTCCATGCTTGTGCAGAACTTCCATGACATCATTGTGAGCTCTCTCTGCTGCGACATGCAGGGGGGTCATGAAACTATGGAGAAGAGAAAAGCCAAAGGTGATTTTCTCTTTTTTATTGCATTTCCTCTTTAAGAATCGAACACATCTTCTGCAATTACACTTACTCTTTATTTTTTTCATTGACATTTGCTCCTTTTCTAAGTAACAACTCTGTCACTTGTTTCCGTTTGGGATGCAGGGAGGCCACAGCACAGTGCTATAAAGTAAACAAAACTAAATTAATAAAATAAACTTCTTTTTGCTGACTAGAACATAGTTATCTCAAAGAGTATCAGAACATACTTATGTTTTACATTATGGTGATCATCAATATTCCCTCCAAATACAGTGGAAGTACAAAACATAAGCTTTTAAATCAAGTTATGTGAAGTTATGCTCTTAAGCATTAAGAGAGATCTTACTTCTTTTTGCTTAGACAGTAAATAATTATTCAGTATATATTCCATTGAAGGAATCAGAATACTGCCTCTTCCAAGCTATGGAAACTTAATTATTCAATCTTTTATTAGGCTACCGGCCATACAAGCCAATCTTTCTCACCTTCTTCTACAGAGCTACTCCCAGCATTACAAGAGAGCAAGCTTATATACCCAGGGACAGGCAAGAAAGTGATAGACTTAAGAAGTTTAGAGGAAGAAATATTCCCAATAATTTTATGTTTTATCATAATATTTACATAACTTTGTATTCTGCTTCATTTTACCAACCGTATTAAAATTTTAAAATGAAAAACTACTTACAATTGAGTAAAATGAATACTCTGAAAAAAGGGGTCATATTTATTCTGGATATCTCCTGATATAATGCTGAGTAGCTTGAATGTATCTGAACCTCAGTTCAGAGACATACATTTAAGTGAACATACAGTTGCCTCATTTCAGTTGGGTGAATCTTTTAATGTTGTTTTCAGCAGATATCGACTAAAATTTGACTTTTCTATGGCAGATACATGTAAGAATATTAACTGAAGCATACTTATAGGTCTGTGGGACAGGTATTACGTATGCTTACATTCTGAATTCAGGAGCAATCATTAACCACCCCTGTATCTGAGCCTTAATGTAGTCAATGACAAAGAAAATAATCCTTCTGAAAGTGCATTAGAAGAAAAAACATGAATAGTTTTAAGGATAATCTGTACAGTATGAAACAAAAAATTCATAATCTTACCATTTTTCTAGCATGAATGTAATCAGTTCTTTGAATATAATTGCTCAAAAGGATGATGCAAGTATCTTTGAAAACACACTTTACTACAGAAAGAAATATAGTACTTATCTAGCAAACACAAAAAAATGAAAATTCTATCGGAAAAATCACATCTTGTATTTTATGATAGCATGGCCACAAAAGTAGATTTGTTATAATAAGTTTAGGTAAAGCCAAAGGAAAAAATAATTTCCAAGTCAAGGTTGAGCAAATGTCTATTCTCTCACTCATGAAAAGAATCATCCCCTGAACCAATTTTAAAGATCAGTGCAACCAACATTAAAATGCAAATTCCTGGCATTTCAGATACTAAAATTACTTTAAGGTTTTTGAAATGAAAATCATATTTTGTGCTTACACTATTATTACAGACCCAGAGAACAGATTAACAATAAAAATCTTACCAGTGCTGTTTCATGAGACTGTGGTTGTTTGAAATTAATGATTTCCAAAGCAAGTGTTTTTTTAACTTTAGCTAGGTCTGCTTCTCTGGCTGCTTGTAGTAACGAATGACCTTTAAATTCATCTGCCAATGAAATAATGGTTGACATAAAAAAGATTTAAAATTTATGAAAATCTTCAGTGTGTTATAAATAAATTTTGGAAAAGTATTGATTTTACAAATTTCTCTATCTTAGCAACAGCACCAACATGATAATAGGAAGATAAAAATGCAAAGGATGAGGGTGTATAGATTAATGAAAATTTTGAAATATGTGTGCTCTGAAATAAGACAGTTTCATACTCTGAGTTCATAAAGATACGCATACAAAAATACTTACTACAGCAGAGTTTTAAAACACGCAACCTACGTGTTCACCAAAAGGAAACCACTTAGATAATCTGTGAACACACACACTATAATAGTTTACAGCTCTTAAAGAGATATCTATATTTACTGACGTGAAAGTATACACTGCTAAATGAAAATTCAAGTAGCAAAAGAGAAAGCATAGGTTGACCCATTTATTTGTTTTGTTACTATTCTTGCTACTATTATTGCCACCATAACTAAATCAAAACAATAGTATAGAAAAACATTTAGAAAAATATTCACCAAAATTTGAATAGTGATTAGGTCTTGACAGAGGAGGGAAGACATGAAATATGGGAAAAGTTTCAGAATTTGAAAATTTTTCAAATATTAAAGACATCTTTTTCAAAGATTAAAGACAATTAATATTTTATTTATTATTTTTTTAAGCAGGTGATTTTTAAAAAGCTGTATCTAAATTAACTGCATGAATAAAAGTCCAATATTCTTATTTATTAAAATTATGTCTTATTTTCCATTTTACAAATTTGACTTACATTTTGATATGCCCACTTATTAACAAAAAACTGAAAATGGTTTTAAAACATAGCAAATGGCAACGACGTATAACATAACATATTACTTAACAATTTCAGACCCTCTCACGTTCAGGCCTTTGTATCTTCGTGGTACTGTATTCTTCCTCTTTTCCTTTCTCTCCTCTCCTCCGAGGGCCCCATCATATTCCCTTCTCTCTCTCAAATGACACACACACACACACACACATGTACACACATGCACATACATGCCTTATTAACTACTACACTGTTCAAGATCTCAGTTTAGATACTTTGGATACACCTTCCTGACCTTCCTGATTATTGGGTTAGGATTCCTTCTTACAAGGGCCACACCACGTGCATCTAGCCATATCACAAGACATATCACACTGTCATATTTGTAATGGTAATCTCATCACCTAGCACAGTGCTAGGCATATAACTGGTACTCAACATATATTTGTCCCATGGATGCTGAATATTTATAAAGTAAGTCATGGCAGGTTCAGGAAAAAAATTTTTTTGTAACTTCTTATTTAGTGGTTATCATTGCTTAATGCTCAAAGTATAGGACTTTGAAACTTCAAAAAATAAAAAACCTAAGTCAAGTGAAATAAAAGTAAATTCAAATAACAAAATTATAGATTTTCACTGTAATGACAAAATTAGGGATATATGAAGTAAGAATTATAAACTGCCATACAGAAGGGGCTATATAGAATTAATTATAAACTGCTGGGGTCGTCAATCTTGAGAAATTTAAACGTAATGCAAATCATACTGGCCTTTCACTAATGACAAATATTCTATGAATATCAAAGTGATAAAACCATTTCTACCATTTCACTTACGCACTCCTTTATGTTCAGAAAAGGTGGCTCAGAAGAAAACTAAATGGGCAAATTTATGAAAAACATAATAAAACTACAGTACTAAGGAAATTAAGGAAATATGATGCAATAATACAATTACACAGCATGGTATTTTCTCAAGTTAACAGTAAATAAAATATTCCCTACCTTTGCTCTTTAGAAAAAAGGTAAATATTTCTACCCAAATTCATTTTCAAACCTAAAATATTTTATTGAAGACTAATGAAGATTAAAAAAATTACCCAGAGAATGAAAAATCTATCAACTTATAATTGAAGTTCTAAACTTCTAAGTGCAAAGGTTACATAAAGCTTTGTTTTTAAAACTTCAAGGAAGAGGATAAAAAAGTGGTAAAATTGCAAATTACTCAAACATTATGAAAACTTAATATTTATAAAACCTAAAACTGTCTCTCTAAACAAGAACGAAACCCCAACTATCTTTTTCATTTGGCTTCATAAAAACAACAAATTAAAAAGCAGATAAGAGCAAAAAAGAAATCTGTAGTGAAAATGTAATAACCATGGATATGATCAAAATATTACTTTTTTGTTTCCTGTATAATTTTCTTGAAAAGAATTCTTTAATTGTGAAAGATGATGAAAACTATAGTTAGAAAAGGTCCAATTTTGTAAAATCCTTTTCTTCAAATAATTGATTGGTGGAATCTTATTTAATAAAACAAAGGAGATACTGAGAAAGTTGGAAAGTAATCAAGGAACTGTTCTCTTCATAAAACTACACAAATTTAGGTTGAATTTTTTTTTTTTTTTTGAGACAGAGTCTCGCTTTGTTGCCCAGGCTAGAGTGAGTGCCGTGGCGTCAGCCTAGCTCACAGCAACCTCAAACTCCTGGGCTCAAGCGATCCTCCTGCTTCAGCCTCCCAAGTAGCTGGGACTACAGGCATGCGCCACCATGCCCGGCTAATTTTTTATATATATATCAGTTGGCCAATTAATTTCTTTCTATTTATAGTAGAGACGGGGTCTCGCTCTTGCTCAGGCTGGTTTTGAACTCCTGACCTTGAGCAATCTGCCCACCTCGGCCTCCCAAGAGCTAGGATTACAGGCGTGAGCCACAGCGCCCGGCCTTAGGTTGAATTTTAATGTCTACATTTGAATAAGACAGGCTAGTAAAATGCAATGATATTCATAATTTGTAAAATGGTTGAAAGGAAAAAAAATGTCAAATGATAACATAGGGAGATAAAGCTGAGCCAGTGTATAAACTAGAGAAAGAAAACTAGAAAAAGATAATAAGTTTTGAGTTGAGTCAAATTCAATTCAATAAACTTGCTGAGTACATGCTATAAGCAATGCACTATGCTAGGCTGGGGGAGGTAGATATAGGCCCAAACACAAATACCATCACACATTTTTGTTAGTTAACAAGGAATTATAAAGAAAAATAAACTGAAGATCTTTAAAGATTAAAAATTCACTGGAAAGATAGAATGTACAAATAGAAAAGTGAACCATATAATGCATGATGGCAAGTGGCAAGAGACATCTGGCTGAGAGTGAATAAATAAACTTTTAAAAGGATTCATTATAAAGACAGATGTAACTGCCCAGTTACAACTGGGTTTGTGTTGGCCTATAATCTAAAGATGTCACCCATGTGAATGTCAAAATGAGTTCAAGTTTCCTCTTAAACAAGATCAAAATTGTGAGAAACGCTGTTTTTAACATAAACTAGTTTAAAACCAGTTTAAAAATAAATGATGCTAGCATCACTTTGACTATGTCTTTTCCATAAGTTATCACTTAGCAAAGATTTTCTCAGATGTTAACTGATTCTTATAATCCTAAATGTGAGAATACAAGCCATGGGACAAGTGAAAATGAAGTAGATGATACCTACATTGAAACCTAAAATGACCAGATGTAGAATTAAATATATATCAGTACTGTAAGTAACAACTGTAAGTAATGTGGTATTCTGAATCAGATCCTGAAACAGAAAAAGGACTTTAGGCAAAAACTAAGGAAATGTGAATAGAGTTTGGACTTTAGTTAATGATGTAATAGTACTGGTTTATTAATTGTGACAACTTTACCATATTAATGTAAAATGTTAATATAAGGGAAACTGAATATGGAGTATATGGGAACTCTCTGTACTACCTTCATAAATTTTGTATATATCTAAAACTATTCTAAAACAAAAGTTTATTTAAAAACATTTGCATACATATATATCAGTAATTTATATCAATATTTGAGAAGATGACTTCCACCAAATCATAAAAAATATCTCACTTAAACTTGGGCAAATGATTACACACTTGGGCCACAACACACATAATAAATAAAAACATGATGGTACAACCTTGTAGGGCTTGGGAAATAATGAGTGCTTAATAATGTTAGACATCATCTATTATTATCAATGGCATAAGAATGTAAGATCTGTGAGCTCTGAAAATTTTTTTTGGTTTGTATACTGGTGCCTGGCACATAGGAAATACTCAACAAATGGTTGTTGATTGACTCATCCTCATTAGCCTTCAAAAAAACAAAAAGGAGACTCAACACACAAATTAGAATTAGGCTTAAATAAACTGTGTGTGTGTGTGTGTGTGTGTGTGTGTGTGTATATACACACACCTTATATAGTGTGTGTATGTGTAGAAAATATTCCTGTGGAATAAAGAAAAGTGTACAGCTAGAATAGAGGATTATAAACTAGCACACTAGTAAAAACGGAAGGTTAATATTTAAATCAGACAAAACTCAACAGAAAGATATTCTAATTTACAACAAGCAATATTGATTTTAGGATATAAATACATACAAGTCAATCTCTCCCGGAGCTCAGGCGTGGGAGCCATATCCACAGCACTTTTGCCATGGCAGTTGACAAGCGTAGGATCAGCACCATGGCTAAGTAACAAAGAGCAGACTTCTACACGATTCTTGGAAGCAGCCTCATGCAGGGGGGTAAACTGCCAGAGATCCATAGCATTGACACAAGCTCCATGCTAAAGTGAGAAAAAATATTTTAGGTCAGTAATCACTTTGCTGGATCAAAACTCAGAAAACATTTATTTCATTGTAAATTTCAGTTTATAACTTTAAAAAATGTGAATACGTATTTTAATTTCTCCTAATTTCACTCTGAAAAACAGCTCAAGTTAATTTGAATGTTTTAAAAAATTTTAAGGCAATGGTACTATTTTTAAGAATTCTTTTATTCTTTTAAAAAGACTTTCAGGTGGCCAAAAAACACATGAAAAGTCATGGTAAGTTTAAAAGGAAAAGCAAGATTTTGAATTTGTTCAAGATTTTGAATTTCTCTTACCTTTAGTAGTAGTTCTGTAACTTCATAATGTCCATATGAACATGCATTATGAAGAGGCACAAGTCCACTAAATGACAAAAGGCAAATTAAAATACTTAAATTTCAAACAACTTATAGTAATTTATCCATGAAGTGCTAAGAAACAAAAATCAAATAAATCCCAATATAATTATACATAAAAATATTTTTAAGTATTTAATAAGAGAATTCAAAGGACAGTTTATATTCACACCTTTTAGATTTATCTTGTTTTTTGTACATAATCCTTAAAGCTAATAAAAATACCAGTTAGAGAACATTTAGGAGAAAGGAAGATCATGTGCTAATTGATAACTGCATACTTTATATATTATTAATAAGTGTTTACAAAAGCAAATGTTAATTGGCAGTGAATGGAAATATTCCACCATTTTAATTCAGTTTCATGGTAATTTCTAGCATAAGAATTAAACATCCAAACTATTACAACTTGTAAATCAAAGTATTCTAAATGAGTCAAAGCCCCCTTTTTGTGGTGTACTTCTCTTGATGACTCACCTATTGTACACCCATCTGTTTTCAGACATGCACAAGGAAACAGAGATGTACAAGAACATCAGGCATTTATGTCCCTATACTATTGGGACACCATTCACATATGGCACAAAACCTGATGCAGGCAAGAGAGAAACATAGCACCAAAAAGAGCAGATTTGAGATGGATGAATTCTCCTTCTGATAAGTATTGCAAGTACTGAGTTTGTTTCTACATTTCTTGACTTGGAGAGGGGGGCAAAGTGAAAGAAACCTTCTTCTGGGGCATCTCTTCTTTATGTTGTCAATTACAGAGTGTAACATATCTACTTTACCTGGGTCGTAGGGTCAATTATCTTTTAGATCTTCAGGTGGGACAATGAGAAAGGTTAGCCCATCACATATGATAGCAGACCCAATGCTCATATATCCCTAGAGACTATACAGGAAACAGATACAAAGTTTTCTAAAACTCACCTCTTCATAAAATAAATGACATCATTGCTTTCTTGGTTCCCACCCTTTGCCCTCCCATATCAACCTTCATAAGGACCTTGTAGGTTTTCTTGCCTTAGATGTCCAAGATTTCATCAGAAAAAAAATTAGATATTGTATACTTATGATTTTGGCACATTAATAAGGGTTGATGCTTTAATATCTGATAAATATGATAGCTATACTACTGGATTGTCACAATTTTCAATTTAATCTTTCTAAAATGCAACCTAAGAGTTGAAAAACAATGAATGATTGCAAGTGAAAAACAAACTGCAACTTCAAATAACCGAACTGCAATAAAATCTAACTGATTTAGGAAATTATCATGAGAAGTATCATTAACAGACAGGCACATGAAAATAAAGTTTGAAATCAAAGTTAGGAACATTCTTAAAATGCTACATAAGTTGTAATAAATGGAATACATGACTTTGTATAGAGCTTACAACCTTCAGAGCATGAGATGAAAACAAAGCGTAACAATCCGTGAACAAAACCATTAAAAGGAGATGAATTGATAAACCTACCCTTTGTCCTTCGCGTGAACATCAGCACCATGCTGGAGCAGTAGCTGAACTATTCGAACTCTGTTGTAGCCAGCTGCGAGATGTAAAGGAGTAGACTAGAAAAGAGAAAGAAAAACACATCCTCCTCGTCAGGTAAAAAATTTCTTGGTTTGCTATTTAAGCTGCATTCATTCAGATTTAAACACAACACAAGTTAACACAAAAAATACTCGGTTGAAATACTAATAACTCACATTTCATAACTGAATGAGAGATAATTCATGCTCCTTAGGAGTCTACTCTAACTTCAGTGCCACCCATCCATTTCCCTTACTTGTTTTTTGAGACCTTCCATAATCAAGCTCTACCCTGCCCATCCTACGTTATTGCTTCTTTCGTTCCAACGTGAACCATTCTCACTGTTCTAAGAAGACCTGTCAGAGTTCATATTTGCTATAACTGGAAACATTCTTCCTTATCCTACTTAAATCCTGTCCTCTTTTAAAATTCTAACTTTTAAATCCCAATTCTGCCATAAAACTTATCTGAAGACCTAGCTCTCAAAATTTCTTTAATAGAAAAGATTGAAAAACATCCCTGAAGAACTATTTGAAGAAACTTCAGTGGCAACAAAAAGGACAATGGACCTTATTCATTCCATATGGCTGCCAGGAATGGTCAAAACTAATTTGCTAAACGGGATGCAATGAAACATGCCAAGATAGTACTTAATCCTCCTATTTTATGTATCATATACATTATACATCATATAAATACAAGAGGAAAATATAGTTTCTTCCCAACTAATTTCTACCACATTTTAATTTGAAGTTATTAAAAGGTTCTCTGCTAAAATTTAACGTTAATTAAAATAATCAAACTTCTCACCTTTTTTAGGAATCAGAAAAAACTTCATTTTAATTAAAAATTTCACTGCAACCAAAGCAATTTTCTACCTTTACTAATTTACAATTTAAATACCATAACAGTTTTTCACATAGGCTCTAGTCTACTTTAATGTACCCTCTTTGCTGCCTTTTATTTGGGGCCTTGGGATTTAGTAAGATTTTCTATTTATTCTCTTCGCCTTTTCCAAATGTCAAAATATAAAAGAATTACTCCATACTGTACTATCTATTATTGCTTTCAAGGTACTACATACACTTTGTATATTCTGACAGTCTCTAAATTTAGAAAATATTTTGAGCAATGCACAGCTATCAACGAGAAGACCATTTTGATTAGAAGAGAGTTCTGAATAGGAAGTCAGAACTTTCCTGAATCAGGAAACCTGATTATACTCCCAGATTTTATGAAACCCTATGAAAGTCATCCTACATATGTGTCTCACCTTCATGTATAAAATAGGGATAAAAATCACCCATCCTAAGCTATTTCAAAAACTTGAAAACAGTAGTTCCCTCTTATCTGCAATTTCACTTTCTGCAGTTTCAGTTATCCACTATTAACTATGATCTGAAAATATTAAATGGAGAATTCCAGAAATCAACAATTCATACATTTTAAATTGTGTGACATTCTAAGTAGCATGATGAAATCTTGTGCCTTCCCATTCTGTCCCACCTGGGACGTTTCTCTAGTACATGCACACTGTAGACCCTACCCATTAGTCACTTAGTATCCTGTTGGTTATTAGATTGAAAAAATACACAGGGTTCTGTACTATCTTCAGTTCCAGACATCCCTGAGGGGTATTGAAATGTATCCCTGGAGGATAAGGGGAAACTACTATAAAGTTTTCTCCCATATATAAACACTTTTATCATGTAAAGTACTATATAAAAATAGACAATTAAAATTTTTGTATTATCAAACAGCATAGCAAGTTTCTGCTTTCAGATAATATGCCAAATGTTTTTACAAATGATACCTCCAGGGAGTACTGAGTTACTCTCAGGACTCTCATTTTACCTTCATTTTTGGAAGGAACTTTTGCTGAAAAATGAAGTTTAGGTTAACTTTTTCCCCCTTCTTTTAATATTTTAAAGATGTTGCTCTGCTGTTTTTAACTGGCTTGCAGTGTTTAAAGACTAGAAATCTGCCATCATCCTTATTTTTGTTCCTTTGAACATGTAGTTTTCCTTTGGACACTTTAATATTTTCTCTTTATCACTGACTTTAAGCAATTTGATTATGATGTACCTTGGTATAGTTTTCTTTATGCTATTTGTGTGTGTGTGTGTTTGCTTGGGACTTGCTGTGCTTCTTAGACCTGTACAATTTTCACTAAATTTAGAAAACTTTAAGCTATTATTTCATCAAATATTTTTTCTGCTCTCTCCCCATTATTCTCTCCTCCAGAGATTTCAGTTACACATATGTTAGAGGCTGATTTCAAAGCTTGCTTTTAGGCTTTGTTAGGCAGGGCTAGAGCAGAAATTCTTCCTTTAGTATAGGAAGAATTTTCCCCTACCACTGAAGCACTGTTCTATGATATCCAGTGAATTATGAGAGGTTTTTACTCCAGCTGGTGGCAACAGAAACTAGCACAGATTCTGTGAGATCCTAGGCTTATAACCTCAGATCCTTTTGGGTGGTTCTTTAATCAGCTTCAGGTAGTTTCCTTATACATATGTTAATTAGTACTTAGCCTAAGACAGTATGGGGACCCTTGGAGTAGATCTCCTTACCTGGTCCTCTGCACCTTGCTGACTCTCCCTACCTTGATTTCCCCAAACTCCCAATTTCCTCTCCTCAACTCAGGGAGAACATTAGGCCCCTCCTAGGTTTTCTCTCTGTGGGTTTCCTCTTTCTGCATTACATCCTGGAAATTCTTCTGAGGCAGTGAGCTGAAGCAATTGCACGGCTCATCTGATTTGTTCTGTCTCAGGGACGGCTGCCACATACTGCTTTGATACTCAATGTCTGATAACCATTGTTTCATATATTTTGTTTATTTTTCTTATTGTTTCAGGAAGGAAGGTAAAGCTAGTCCCTCTTACTCCATCTTGGCCCACTTTCCTGGACTGAGTTGGACTTGACATTGCAGTAAAGCTATCCCCAGAGATAAGAACTGCCTTGGATGACTAGTCAATAGTGACTAGCCAGCAAGCTCCTACAGCACACAGCTGACATTTCATTACATAAAAAGAGGGGCATTTTTATTGCTTATGAACAAAAAGAGTCTCCTTTTTCATAGTAAGTATCTTTTACACAATTTTATTTGTACATAGTTGATTCAATAATTTCAAGTTCTTATTCCTGAAAATGAACAAAATCCCTAAATGAATGAATACAAATGAAACCAGGGTAATAGCATATTTAAAGGGGCAAAAACATAAAAAACAATTATCTTGTTTGCAAATATTTTAAAATCATTTAAGAGTGAGAATTGTTTACAGTGCTTTGAAAATAATGATGTATTTAGTTGCTAAGCTGTTGAAATTTATATAACTCAAGTAAATTAGAAGGTTCTATAATTAACAAGGTAGAAAGTGGCAGGAAGCCTGAAATAAAGTGTGTGTGAAAAAAGTGACATTAAGAGGTGAGTTTCAAAACTGCTGGGAAGCAAAACTGATAGAATCTGAAAAATGACTGATTAAGTAGTGAGGGATATGGCAGTTTCCAGTGGGAAATGTCAATGACAGAAGAAAACAAGAAATGAAAGAAAAGAAAAGGAGGGAGGGCAAGGGAGAAGAGCCCGCAGGGAAAGAATCTGAGGTCTGGTTTACTGAATTTAAAGTACCTACATGCATCTAAATAGAAGCAGCGAAGCCATGGAGTGATGAATTCACAGGGAAGAGTGAGTGCAGAGCAAGTGAGATGAGACGGTCTACGTAATCAGTCCAATGTGAATGCTAATCATGCAACCTATCCAGTATCACTAGAAGGCACATAAAAATCAGTAAAATGCTTGCAATAAATCTGAGAAAATGGCAGAATGCAAAGAGAAAAAGTACAGACAAATTGAGAACAAAGGATGATTTGATCAAGCTTATGCCAATAAGAGCCCAGAGGTTTTTCCGCACTCTATAAAAAAAAAAAAAAAAATTTACTTACCGAATGCTGTGTCCTAATACAAAGTAGTTGAAACCATGTAGCTCAGGACTAAACTTAGTGAATAGCTGCTATCTAGTGCCAAATTTATACCTCAATTGCCAAATGGCAAAGCAATGATAAAAGTAATTTTCTAATTGCTCGGATAATTAACAGAGTGTAATTTCAGTTTTGGATAAATAAAGCAGACCCATTTGTAAAAACCTCACACATGTTACTAATAATTGGATGGTGGCTGTAAACTAATAAACACAAGAATCAAACGCTTAAGACATCAATACACACAGGACAGCAATCACTGCCAGTTTGCACACCTCAGATTTATTCTAAAAACAGATGTTTTTGTTGGGAACATTTTAAAAGACAAACATGTAGAGCAGTATAAAACAAATGTAAATACAAAAACTTTACCTAAAACTCTATCTAAATTAATATTAATCTGCTCTAAGAGACATATTATCACTAATATTTTCATATTATAAAATGTTTACAGACAAAAGTCATTTAAAGAAATCCCATAATTCAACATTTTCTTCTTAGAGTCAGGCTATAAGAAAAAAACAAACTTGAATTTATTATCTTTGCCTTTTATGATATAGATTTACAGTGCGATATAAAGCATAATAGTAAGGCCGGGCGCGGTGGCTCACGCCTGTAATCCTAGCTCTCTGGGAGGCCGAGGCGGGGATTGCTCAGGTTAGGAGTTCGAAACCAGCCTGAGCAAGAGCAGACCCCGTCTCTACTATAAGAAAAAATTATTGTCCAACTAATATATATACAAAAAATTAGCCGGCATGGTGGGATGATGCCTTAGTCCCAGCTACTTGGGAGGCTGAGGCAGGAGGATTGCTTGAGCCCAGGAGTTTGAGGTTGCTGTGAGCTAGGCTGACGCCAGGCACTCACTCTAGCCTGTGCAACAAAGCAGACCTGTCTCAAAAAAAAAAAAAAAAAAAAGCATAATAGTAGCTTTAATCCTATACATACATACATTACATACATACATACATGGCATAGCTAAAATATTAACAAGCTTTTTACAAAGCTGAGGAAGCAGCTTTAACATATGTTCAGAGACTACAATATAAGGAAATGAGTAAAG